ATAACAATATCAAACCTGTGTGTTATTTTAAGTATTACACAAGTCACTCTGTGTGAAGATTGGCACATGCTAGATAATGTTAGTGTTTATTATTATTGAGAGAAATCACAATGTCTGAGGGAGAGTTGGTCTATTAGGAAGGATGAACTGGCTTTATTGAAATGTTTGCAGTACTTAAACATATAGGGCTTGAGCTCCGTAAAGTGAGGCCAGATATGTAGCCAAGAGTTATTGGTCGAGAGTGGACCAGAAACATCAGAGAAAAAAGAGCAGGCGGCTGGAGACTGGCGTCCCTAGAGGTGTACTTTTCAAATGAGGTTTGGAGGAACGGCCGCAAATTGCATGTTACTTGTAAAATTTTCTGAATGTGGCTGGTTTTGTATTAGTTGGCTGGTTATATGCCTTCATTCGCCACAGTACTGCTAATCCCTGCGGGAGACTGAACAGTGCCCTGCCATAGCTCAGACTAGGAAGAAGAAAATAATTTTGTGTGGAGTGTGCTAGTTCCCCCTTGTGGCCAGTGTGTATTAGTGCAGTCCATGAAATAGAGTGGGCAACTTCAAGGGTTCTGCCCAGCAAACTGCCATTTTGAGAAAAGGTCTTTGGCCTAGGGGGCGATTAGCGTATCTCACTGTGGACTTCATGCTAGTCCTCACCATAGGCGGTTTCTGGTGACTTTATCACTGTGAATCTCATTATAGCACTGGCTGACTAATATCAGTCCACTGTCAGTGGGGTGTTGGCTGGAAGAAGTAGCGTGACTTAAGAAATCTTCATTCCTGTTTTTTAGTTTTCATGAAATTCTTTTGTGAAACTTTAGTACTCTAGTATCATTTCATATGTTAAAAAAATTTTTTTTTTGAGACAGGGTCTTGTAAGGTCCACAGGGGCCTTGAACTCACTCTGTAGCCCAAGCTGGCCTTTCACTTGTACCCCTCCTCCTGCTTCAGCCTCCTGGGTGCTGGAAGTATAGCCATGCATCCCCATGCCTGGCTTACCATTTACTATGTTAGGGCTGATCTGCTTAGAATTTTAGTAAGAGAACTGAAACGTCCCCTTGGGTCCATGCCATAGCCAAGGCTCCTTCTTGCTACTGTTGAACCTTTTTGTGTCTTCTTGTTGGTTTTCTAGTCTCTCTGGAGCCGCAAAATACATCCTCTGTTCACAGCTTCATCTGAGCATGTTTGTAGGAATGATGCCAGGTACCTCCTGGGCGTGTGAGTAGGAAGACTGTGTGGAACGGTCTGTTATGCTGCTCCCGTGATGGGAAATGGAGTCAAAAGACAGTGTGGGCGCTGCGAGGCCGCTCCCCCTTTGTGTGCTGGCTTCTTGTTAGAGCACGGTCTGTAAAGGACAGAAGAGGTTGTGCATTCTATTGGCTAGAACCAGGGCTAAGAATAAGAAGCTATCTAAATGAAAGGACAGGGTAATATGAACACCAGGAAAGGAAGGGAGAAATAGTGGGACCATGTGTGTTATAGTAATGGGAAAGGATCTGTCTGAGAGACTCCGTCCTTCCAGGTGTAGGGGTACATCAGCTTTCAGTCCTGATGAAGAGAATCCTCTTAACTCACTCGGTATGCAGTGCCTGGCTACTTTCTCTCTTTTGACTCTTCTCTAGTTGTAGCCTCCATCATCTCTTCCTCAAATTACTGTCCCCTAATCAGTCTTCCTTCTTGCTTCTGCCTCATCTCCCTCATCTCAATATCTCAGTCAAAGTGATCTGTGATATATCAGAAGGCTCCAGGGGCCCTGGATGACTGAGGTGAACAAGGACACTCCATACATGATCTGCCCCCATCACCCCATGACTTTATCTCCTGCTTCTGTTTTACCACACAGGTCCACTCGAAAAACTCCCGCTCCAGGGCTGCCATTTTCTCTTCCTGTTGACTGGGACGTTTATCCTCCACTGTATTAATTTTCCATCACTTGAAACATATGACCACTAGTTTACTGTAGAGCTTAAAACAATACAGAACGCATGTATTATCCCATGGTTTCTGTAGGTGAGGGGCTTGGTTATGCATAGCATAGCTGGGCCCTCCACTCTGGGCTTCAGGAAAGGGTCAGACACAGGGTCGCATCTAAGGCTTGGGTTCCCTTCCAAACTCCTGTGGTTGTTGCAGAACTCATTTCCTCTAAGCTGTAGAACCCATGGCCACTTTCTTGAAAGCCAGCAGAAGGAAATTTGACTCTTTTGAAGGGCTCCCCTGACTAGGTCAGGCTCCTCCTTCTGGTGATCTTGAAGTCAACTGATTAGGGACCTTACTTACATGTGACAAATCCCTTCATTTTTACCATACAACAGAACATAACCATGGGAGTAAAGTCCTATTATCTTTGCCACTCTGTTGGTTAGAAGAAAGTTACAGATACTCACCACCAGGTGCAGGGTGCTGAATAAGGAGGTGAGGTCATTTTTGTGGCTCACGTTAGAATTCTGTCTAATACACTCGGATATCATTGTAGCTTTCTCTATCATCCTGTCCTTGTCTTTGTTCAAACCTGCTTCTCACTCTTCTTTGAACTTCTGTTTTTTCAATGAATTTACCACTTATATGATGTGGAATTACTTGTGGTTATCTTTCTTTACTAGAATGTTAAGTATGGGAAGGAATTCATGTGTTTTGTTCACTGCTGTATCTTCTGGGCCAATATGAATGCCTGCCACTGAGTAGATGCTCGGTAAATATTTCTTAGGAGCTGAATGATATTACATGAGCTTTAGGGGCTGGAGATTTAGCTCAGTGGCACAGCACCTGCCTGGCAAGTGCGAGGTTGTGAGTTTGATTCCCGATACTGGAAAAAAACAAACAAACAGAAAAAACCAAAAAAAATGAGCTTTAATTCTCCACAGGCTCTTTCTGGAACAATACTATTTTCCAGATATTCTGTTACTCCTTGGTGAGATGCCCTACATCCCAAGCAGATAATTCAGATGTTACAGATTCTGAGAAATGAGTTCAAGCCTTTCTTTTATCCTCCATATGCAGGTGGTTGCCTGGTTCTGTTAGTTTGTCCTATTTCTGAACATTTCATTTCTACTACTATTCCTACAAGTTAGATCTTTTTTGGTCTAAAATAGTATTAGTCCGTTTTCCATTATTGTGTCAAATACCTGAGATGAACTTAGAAGGAGAAAAGTTTGATTTGAGCTTAAGGTTTTGGGCCATGGTTGTTTGGCCTGTTGCCTGTAGTGGCATAGTATATCATGGCGGAGTGTGTGGTGGAGGAGGCCTATTCACTGCAGATGGGAAGCAAAAAGAGAGACAAGGAGGGGCTGAGGTACTGTGAATTACTTCAAGGGAATGTCTCCAATGACTTACTATTTCCTGCCAGGCCCCACTTCCTAAAGGTTCCAACGCTTCCCAGCAGTGTTACAGGCTGGGCCCAAGTCTTCAGTAACTGGGTCTTTGGGGACTTCAACATCTAATGTATAGCAAATGTAGTAGCTTCTTTCTTAATCAGTCTGTCTTGTATAATCAATGTATCACTCTTTTAAAATGGTCCTTTTATCATACCAGTAATTTCAGGGACCAATTGGTCTGAAATTCATATAACATAAGATTAACCCTAAAGGGTTCAGTTCAGGAACATGTTAGCACACTCACAATGCTGAGCAGGCATCAGCACCTCTGTCATGGTGCCCCAGTCCTTACAGAATAAAGTAGAAACTTTATTCCTCTGTCCACACTCTTGTCCGCGCTGTCTTTCCAGCCTGTCTGTCATAAGTACCCTACTCCAGGTAGACTGCATTCTCTTCCTTCCCCTGCCCCTTATAAGGTTCTAGTACGGAAAGTATAAGCAGGGCCAGTTGTAGTGGCTTCTCACATATTCTGTGCCCATCCAAATATTTTTCAAATAGATGCTGAGGCCATGTTTTCCTGTAATCATAATTTTTGTGTATTCAATGTGTATACTTGAATTGCTCTGCCACCACTTTAGCATTTAACCTATACTACACTATTATGTATTAACATTTTTTTTTATTATGTTCAAGTCTGTCTCTCTCAGAAAACCTAAAAAGTACTTGTATCAGCTAGCTGTTATTTTGTAACAAATCGCCTCCAAACTCCATGACTTAGAATAGTCTTTATTATTATAGTTCACATGTCTGGGGAGCTGGATTTGTATGATCTTGCTCAAGCTCTTTGGGCCCTTTCAGATCCTATGTCTCACCTGGGGCTTCTGCTTCAGTTGGGGATTGGCTACAGCATTTAGAGGCACAGCTCTGTTCCACAGGTCTTATTTTTCTCCAGAGAGCAGCAGGCTAGACCAGCCATGTCCTTCTCAGGGTGATGGCAGAAATTCAAAAGCAAGTGGAACCAGGCAAGGTCTCTTGAAGCCTAGGCTAGGAATTGACATTATACCTTTTGCTCCATCTTTTGGTGCAAGCAAACCACATGGCTGAGGTCACAATCAAGGGGTAGGGAGTATAGGCTTTCTTTCAATGGGAGGAAACGTAAGCCCACACGACAAGAAGGTGCATAGAAAGGAATGAAGAAATAGGGTCTTTGGTGCAATTTACCACACACTCAAGGGCAATTTTTTCTCTTTCCTTGTATTGCCCAGCCTTGTGTTATCGACAGATGTTGTATATAGATGTATTACTTTGTAACAAGCTACCCCAAACTTAAAAAAAATTCTAATAGTTTAAAATATCATCCATATCATTCACTTATGATTCCATGGGCTAGCCAGGCAGGGCTCAGCTGGATGGCTCATCTCTGCCTTATGTGATACCAGCTGGGCTCACTCATGTAGAATTCACATGACTGGCCCAGTCAACTGGACTGCTAGAACACTGGAGCCTCCTTTTTATGATCTTTCAATTTTAAAGGCCCATCTCTGTACAGTCTGTCAGATTAGCTGTCCCTCCATGGCCAGCATTCAAGAGAGTGAACCCAAGGCCTCTAAAAGCAGACTCAGAAGCTGCATAGCAGTTCTTTTGCATTCTGCTGGTGAGAGCAAATTGCAGGGCTGGTCCAGATTCAATGAGGAGAGAAGTACATCAGACTCTTGATGAAAAGTGTGACAAGCTGCACTGCAAAAAGGCTCCTGAGGTATGACAGTTAGGTGCATGTCTCTGCAAAGACAATGCCATGGCAGAAGTTACTGAATGCTTTCTGAATGAGCATTTGGATAACTGAGTGAAGCAGAAGCACAGGCTGCCAGCGAAAAGGACTTCAATATAGGACTCCGATGCAAGAAAAGTAAGGATATCTTTACTTTCTAGTTATCTTCGTATTTGTCTACGGACAACGCAGATGATGGATTTCCTCAGATCCGCTGGCATCAAACAGCAGATTTTGGCTTTGTCCCCAACCTGAAGATGCCCAATACTTTCATGGCTGTAGCTATGGATCTCGGTGACAGGGACTCACCTTTTGGCAGGTATGGGCTTTGCCTGACCAGGGTCTGGTATTTGCAGTAGTCCTTCACTCTCTTTACTTGTGAGGGGATGGATTCCAGTGATCTTCAACTTTACAGAGCTTTCAGTGGTAACAAGAAGCTCAATGCGGCACATGTGCCATGGGGTTTGCCACCACGGGTTGGGCTGTGAATTGGAGCTTAGGTGCACTATGTGTCAGTTATCCATACTGGGATATGCTGCGGTAACAACATTTCAGTGCTTTGATGCAAGAAAATTTCATGCTCACACTCTGACCAAAGAAAGGCAACAGAAATGTTGGTTAAAGTCATTCACAAACCCAAAGCAACAGAGACTCCAAGTTGATCTGTTCTTCTACAGTCAGCCTCTGATCTCATATTGGCAATTAAGTGCCTCCATCTGGAAGTTTGGTTTACATCAGCAAAACCATGTTGTATAGCCACACTCAGCTTCAGTGAGAGTAGGCCATGGAATTCTAGCATGGCCACAGGGGCCAGGGATATAGCTCAGTGGCCTAAGTGCCTGGCTGGCAAGCATAAGGTTCTGAGTTCAATTCCCAGTACCAAAAAACCCCACCAGAAACAAAAATAAAAATAGCATGGCCACAAAGGAGGATGGAGTCTTTGTGAACAGCTCCAGTGAATACCGTACACTAGCTGTAGGCTATAAGGGGATTTCAAATATGAAATGGAGCCCAAAACACAAAGTCAGGCCTATAGTAGGAACCTGATTAATATTTAATGAACAAACAAAAGCTGGAGGGGACCAAATGACAAACAGCTGATTTAGATGAAACATGGATTTTAGTGGTTTGGAATGGTCGTGCATGTTAACTACGTTAGTTCCAGTGTTTCACTCTCACCCTCTTTGTTTATTCCTTCCTTTCAAGCCACTGATTGCTTCAAAGTTTCCAAACTTGTAGAGGTCCAGAGGTCCCCCTGTGTTCACCACTCACCATTTCTCCTGAGGTGACTTCAGTGAGCAGGGAATTCAAGCAACTTTATTCTTATATTCTTAGAGGGTGCTTTGAATAATCTTTTAAAAAATATGCTTATTGTGAGGCTCAAACTCAAAGTTCTCTACTTGTTCTTCATCCTGTAGCATCCATCCCAGGGACAAACAGACTGTGGCTTATCGGCTGCACCTGGGGGCCCGTGCTGTGGCTTACGGTGAGAAGAATTTGACCTTTCAAGGACCACTGCCTGAGAAGATAGAACTCTTGGCTGACAAGGGGCTGCTCCAGCTTATATATTACCAGAGAATCCAGGTGCAGAGGCAGGATAAGAAGATATTTGAGGTGAGAATAGCCGGAGATGGAGGGCCTCATCCTGTGCTAAGAGTCAAGACTCCTCTGCTCTGATGTTCTGCTTTCTCATTGTAATGTGATCATGAGGCAGGTCTGGTTGGGTCGGGGTGGAGTTGAGTTTATCTTAGAGGGATAAGGATGCAGCTCTTAATTCATGAGTTTAGAGGCAACTTCGATAGAACAATTAAGGGAAGGAAAATGAGCCTCTACTAAATGATATTCCTTTTGTAGTCTCCCTCCCAGAGTAACCATCTTTACTCAGGGAAGGTCCTGTATCCTTATTTATAGTTACCTATTGATCATTCCTCCAGAATATTCCTCTCATCCTTGGGTGACATTTTTTTTTCTTGTTATACTGTCCTAAATTCTGACATTTTTTGAATTTCCTGTCTCCTTTGAAAAGCTTAAGTTTGGTGATTTGTAACTTAGTTAATGTAATAGAATTGCTTTCTTCTAACACCTAGAGGGATCATTATTTAGGAATCTTACATAGTTAAGGGTGGGGGGGTGGTGGTATTTCTGGATGGAACATTTAAATAAGTGTCTTTGGGAATCTTAAGGCCATTAGGCTGGGAGAAGGTATGGGAAAGAAGGCATCAGAGAAGAGAGAATATTAGACACAAACTTCACCTCAGAGTTTATCTAGGGTGTTGTAGCTTCTTCAGAATCCTGAGTATATGGTATCCACCGGCCTCAGATGCCTGGTCAGTGTTTGTCCTGCTTAGCTTCTTTCCAGGCTCATTTTTAGGTGAATTTAGATTCCCAACAAGGCTGTACATTCTGAGTTCTTTCAGTTGCTGGCTGTCTGCCCATTATCTAGTGTCAGGAGAGAACTTAACATTTGGGTCCTGGAAATGTGTGTTCACTTTTCTCAACTGCCTTCTGACTCAAGAGGTGTAGTATTCACAGCTCTTTTGGGAGCACCGGGGAGCAGTGGCAGCAGCCGGGTGGCTGGGATCACTTACATCCCTGCCTGCTTGGCATCTGGTGGAAGGGCCACTGCAAGCCTGTCCAGGGGAGCCTCCCTAGGGGCTTACAGATGACTGTACTGCTGTGTCTTCCTACGTTAATGTTTTATTTATTGATGTAACTTATTTAATCACATGAACATTTATTGGTGCTGGAGAGTGAAGCCAGAGCCTTGTGCAGTGTAGGCTTGAGTTGCCCAGCCTGCACGAGTATGTTATAGATTTGTGTTTTTTTGCACCCAGACTCAGCGTGCACCAGGTTCTGGTGATTGCAGGAAATGGGTCTTTGGCCAAGAGTAGGTCCTTCCCTCCTTTCTAGTCTGTCTGCAAGGGCAGTTCTTGGTTTCTTGGGATACCCTAACTGACCTGAGCACCGGTATTCTGACTCTCTTACTAGATCTCATGCTGCAGCGACCGTCAATGCAAGTGGCTCCCAGCTCCCATGAACACTTTCTCCTCCCAGACCTTGACCCTGAGTATCAGCTCTTGTCCTGGCACTGTGGCTGCTCTTCGCTACGCCTGGACCACATGGCCTTGTGAATATAAGCAGTGTCCCCTTTACCACCCCAGCAGTGGCCTGCCAGCCCCTCCCTTTATTGCTTTCAGTACAGACCAGGCTCCTGGACATTAAAGCTGCCCAATGACAGCTGCTGTACGGTCAGATCTTAGATACAGGGGGAGGTGGGTTTTGGCATTTAGGAGTTTAAATGATGACAACTGTTGCTTTAAAGGAAATTGATAGAAAGCCTCCCCGAACAGCTCCCAGCTAGCACGTGGCTGTATAATCTGAGATAAACCAGGGTCAGCAGGTAACTTGGAATACTTGCCTTTGCCCCCTCACTAGTCTAAGCCTAAAAACTGGACTAGTTGTGAACTATAACCAAATTGGACCGCATCATATACCACCCTCATATCAATGGGAATGAGGTGTCTAACTTTTGCCCCTTTTCCTCTAGAACTGTGGAACCTCACAGTTAGAAGAGGGTTTAAAAGCCATAGAGGCTGATTAGTGTTTCCCGTGTCCTTTGCCAATTTTTTGACAAGTGGTTATTGTGTAACAAGTTTCTCAAGCTTCCAAAGGTTTTTCTTCAGGCGGAACTGAAATCTTTCATGAAATTTTACTACATGTGTCTTCCAGATAACTGAAGACAGACATATTGGTATTTTCCTTAAGCCCAAAACAATTGTATTCCTTCAGTCTAAATAATGATGTTTAAAACAAACGAACCAATTCAAGGCCAGCCTGGGCTACATAGTGAGTTCAAGGCCTGGCTGAACTATATAGTGAGACCCTGTCTCAAAAAAGTAAAAACAAACCAACTAGGTCCAAGCAAGCACATTGCGGGGGCGGGGGGGGGGGCAAGGATCTGCCTTAAGGCAGGCACTCAGGTGGCTGCAGTGAGGGGTGGGAGCAAAGTTGGATTACAGGTTTAGGGAAATATGACAGTGGTGGTAACTAAGGAAAACTGTCATTAGAGTTAAATATGTTTCAGGCCCTTTCAAATCAAAAGACTGGGCCAGGGATGTAGCTTAGTGGCATAGCACCTGCCTGGCAAGTGTGAAGTCCTGAATTCGATTCCCAGTTACCCCTGGAAAAAAGTCAAAAGACATAAGGATAATCCACATAGAAGAAAAAAGGCTGAAAGTAAAGCTACACAATAAGCTTATACAATAGTGCACATGAGACAAATGTGAAAGAGGCTTTTATCTATACTAATTAAGAATCATAATGCAATTTACTAGTTGGTTAAAAACAGCTGATGACCCTTGAAAACTCAGAAGTTGGAAATAAAAGCATTGTGACTTGTGATGTTTACATATTTGTGTCATCAAAACTGTGGTAGGATTAGCGTGTTTGAAGCATGGGGAATGAATAAGAATGTTATCTCTCTGGAGCTTTTATCCCTTGGATGTGAAAAACGAGACCTAAAGCAGTGAGCATCGCTCTCTGCACCCTCACGGGTTCTGGTGTGGTGCCAAACAGCAGGAAGAGCTTTATCAGTGATACTTAGTAAAAATATCTGGAAACAAGTCTTGTGTCCTGCAAGGAACTTCAAGAACTACCTAGTGTACAGTTAACTCCTAATGACTACACTTTTACCTCTTCATGCATCTGGCCTCACAGGAATCACGAACCTAGTAAGTTTCCTGAGAAGAGGTAAATCTACCTGTCCGCCCCGCTCCCAATTCCATTAAGCATATACCAAGGGCTGTTCTAATTTGGACGCAGCTAGAAGCAGCCAAGAACTCTAAGCCCATGTTCCTGTACCACTTATTTCTAGATGTCCCCCCTAAAACCTCAGGCATTCACAGGTGGGGCTTTTGCGAGTGATTGGATCATGGGGGTGTGATATGCATGAGATTAGTCCCCTGGTGAGTTTAGAGCTAAATGTGATGTTGGGAGGCACCTGCTCTGAGGAGGCGGGTCACTGGGCGTGGCCTGGAAGAGCCTCCCTCCCGCCTCCTCTCTTTGTCTTTCTCTGCTTCCTGTCTGCTTTGCCAGGAGCTGCTTCTCTTCTGCCATTCCACCCGACTTTGGAGCCAGCCCACTATGGGCTGAAACCTCTCAAGCTGTGAGCCAAATAAACCTTTCCTCCGTCAACTTGTGGGTGTTGGGTATTTTGTCCCAGCAACAAAGAAAGTGACTAAGACAACCCCCCAGTAACCTAGTACACACAGTGTAAAACATTTGGTTTAGGTAATACGTGTATTTACCTATACACATCAAGTTATACATGAATGAATTTATTTTCAGTGGCTGAATGATTTAAAATACACTGTGGAAGTTCAGTATATTTCCCCAAATGGAAATAAACCTTTAGTGTTTGAAAATGAACTAATAATCACTATAGAAAATGGACACTAAAAAAAAGTGTAAGTAAAATTCATGCCCAAAAATCATCATTCAGAGAAACTATTTTGGTGAACATTCACTTGATCTAGGTTACACAGTATTATACACTATATAGTATATTACTTTGTAATCTGTTTGTTGACATTCTACCAAAATAATTTTTTCTTTTTCTTTTTTTTTT